GAGGGATAGAGAGTTAGAAACATCCATGAGAGAGAAACATCCATCAGCTGCCTCCTGCACACCCCCTACTGGGGATGTGCCCACAACCAATGTACCGCCCTTGACCGGAATCAAACCTGGGAGTCTTCAGTCCACAGGCCGACACTCTAGCCACTGAGCCAAACTGGTCAGGGCTCCACTTCTTTTACTTTGATCTGAACCATCCTCATTTCTCACCTGCGTTACAGCAACAGCCTCTTAACTGGTCTGAGTCTACACCTGCTCCTACAGTTTATTGTATTTTCTACACTGCAGCCTTTTTTCAAAGGAGGCCTCAAAGGACTCCTTTGCTCAAAGCTGTCTCTGTTTTTCTCAGAATAAGGGCTAAAGTTTTTACAGTGAGTTATGAGACCCTAGATGAGTTGGCCTCTTTTATGTCTCTGATTTTATTACTCTCTCTTTTTTTTTTATTTTAAATATATTTTATTGATTTTTTACAGAGAGGAAGGGAGAGGGATAGAGAGTTAGAAACATCGATGAGAGAGAAGCATCGAACAGCTGCCTCCTGCACACCCCCTACTGGGGATATGCCCACAACCAAGCTACATGCCCTTGACCGGAATCGAACCCGGTACCTTTCAGTCCGCAGGCCGACGCTCTATCCACTGAGCCAAACCGGTTATGGCTACTCTCTCTCTCTTTTTTTTTTTTAAAAATATATTTTATTGATTTTTTTACAGAGAGGAAGGGAGAGAGATAGAGAGTTAGAAACATCGATGAGAGAGAAGCATCGAACAGCTGCCTCCTGCACACCTCCCACTGGGGATGTGCCCGCAACCCAGGTACATGCCCTTGACCAGAATCGAACCTGGGACCTTTCAGTCCGCAGGCCGACGCTCTATCCACTGAGCCAAACCGGTTTCGGCTACTCTCTCTTTTTAAAAAAAATATATTCTTACTGATTTCAGAGAGGAAGGGAGCGGGAGAGAGAAAAATATCAATGATGAGAATCATTGATTGGCTGCCTCCTGCACGCCCCCTACTGGGGATCAAGCCCACAACCTAGGCATGTGCCCCTGACCGAATCAAACCCAGGACCCTTCAGTCCACAGGCCGTCACTCTATCCGCTGAGCCAAGCCGGCCAGGGCTGGTTTTATTACTCCCTTCGCTTACACAGGCATGCCTCCCCTCTGCCCTTCCGCTCCTTTCCCTCTGCCCAATCGGTCTCTGAGCCTTCCCTAAGGCCAACTACTATCCTGACTTCTAACAACATATATTAGTTTTACCTGTTTTTGTTCTTTATAAAAATGGAATTGTACAGTAAGGGCTCTTTTTTGTTGTTTTTAATCTTCACTGGAGAATTATTTTTTCCCTTGATTTTTAGAGAGAGTGGAAGGGAAGGAGAGGGAGAGAGAAACATCAATGTGAGAGACACATTGATTGGTGGCCTCCCGCACACGCCCCGACCAGGGCCAGGATCAAACTTTCAACCCAGATACATGCCCTTGATGGGGAATTGAACGTGAGACCCTTCAATGTGCCAGCGACGCTCTAACAACTGAGAACACTGGCCAGGACTAGTGAGGGCTCTTAGTGTCTGTCTTCTTCTCAACATATTAATGAATTTCACCCATGTTGTTGCATGTAATTATAGTTTGTTCATTCCTATTGTTGTATAATAATAGTCTATTGTGTGAATATAAACCAATTTGCTTATCCTGAATGAACAAATTATTTAAGATTCCCAGATATTTTTTTCTTTAAAAAACACACACAAACACCAACATTTTTATTGATTTCAGAGAAGAAAGGAGAGGGAGAGAGAGATAGAAACATCAATGATAAGAGAGACTCATTGATCGGCTGCCTCCTGCATGTCCCTTACTGGGGATAGAGGATGGAGCCCACAGCCCAGGCACGTGCCCTGACCGAGAATCAAACCGTGACTTCCTGGTTCATAGGTCGACACGCAACCGCTGAGCCACGCCAGCCGGGCTCTTTGTTTTTGGTGTCACCAGTGTTGTTGTGAAGATTAAGTGAATTAATACACAGAAAGCATTTTTTTTTTTTTAGAAACAAAAGCCAACTTCATTTGGTCATTTCTTGTATTGGAAGTACTCCTCGATGACATCGTATGCCTGAGACTGTTTGCCATAGTCCTAGAAAAAGGCCATATGGGCCCAGCTGGCGTGGCTCAGTGGTTGAGGATTGACCTGTGAACCAGGAGGTCATGGTTCTATTCCAGGTCAGAGCACATGCCTGCTTGCAGGCTCGACCCCCAGTGTGAGGTGTTCAGGAGGCAGCTGATCAATGATTCTATCTCATCATTGATGTTTCTATCTCTCCCTCTCCCTTCCTCTCTGAAATCAATAAAAATATCTTTAAAAATTTTTTCTTATAAGTCATTCTCAGGGATCTTGTTGACTTCAATGTCTTTAAGTCTTGTAATACGGCTTTACTATTGCCAGCTTTGTATAAGTTTCTGCAGAACATGTTCACCTAAGCAGACTCATTGGCTGGCTTCAGAAAGCATTAGCATGGTATCCAGTATATAGTGATGTTAGGGTTTTTGACTGTGACTTGGGCTGTGAAAGCATTCACAACTAAAGGAAGAGATAGATGCAGCGAGAAAGTTTTATTATTTTTACTCTCCCCAAAGGGAAAGGGCCTGGTACACGCTAACCAATACAAGGGCCAAGAACAAAAGGCTGCTCCCCTTTAAAGCCTTGGCTGCTGTTGCTAGGTGACGAGGAAGGGAGGGGGGCTTCAGGGCTGGAGTTGAGCATACATGAGGGGTTGTGTTTGAAAAGTCTGTTTGTTTTTTAGTCTGGGCAGATGTCCGAGGGAGGTGTTTTTATCAGCATCTTCACCCAAACCTGTATGTAAAACATGCAAAGAATAAAAGTTATGGGAGAGATCAACCAAAGGACTTGTCTGCATGCATATAAGCATAACCAATGGACACAGACACCAGGGGGGTGAGGGCATGAGCAGGGGTGGGGGGTGGGGGTGGAGGGGCAATGGGGGGATAAGGACACATATGTAATACCTTAATCAATAAAGAAAAAAAAGTGAAAGTTATGAAGAGTTCAAAGGAGGCTTTGTTTGAAGAGGAGGGGAGAAGGGAACTTCCTACTAATTATCCCTGATTTGTAAAAAACAGCAGCGAGGAGGGGTATGTATGCAAGAACGTAGCCCTGAGAGTAGCTTAGCTTGTCTTGCAGTTTGAACAGAGGGGCTGTTTGAATCAGAGGAGCTTCTCATAAGTCGTGGAAGGCTACAGCAAAGAGAAAGGGAGGCCTTTTTTTCTTGTTTTCACACTCACAGGTAGGTGCTTAATAGAGGCTAGCTATTGATTTTGTTATATTCAGATACTTTATTCACTCATGATCTCATCCTCATCTGAAGTGCTGGGAAGTCGCTGCAGCATTCTTCAGGATGCCAGCCTGGCTTCCCCATTGTGAGGGCCAGCATGGGTGGCCTCAGGGGCCCAGTGTGTCCTCAGCACAGGAAGCAAGCTGGGCAATTGGGTTCCCTCTTTGCAGGGAGTCAGGGAAGCTGAAATAGTGGCTAGTGACTGGGGGTTGCTGGTCAGCTCATCTGGACCCCCTGGAGGAAAGGTTCAGGGATAGTCTCACTGAGCCATTCGGCTTCTACCTTCCCAGGGGGTTGGCTGTCTAACCCTTTCTGCCGTCCAGGGACCCTGTATCCCTAGCATCTGCCCTCAGCGTCCTCCGAAGCCAAGCCCCTTCCCCCTTCATTAGATAGCTTCAGTTTTATAGCTTGTCCCCAAAAGAACCTCAAAGACTCATTTAAGACTTAAATTGTCAGGGCTTATAGTGTTGTGAATCCTTTACTTCATTCAATTACACCCGTCCTTTCATCCATCTATCTGTCCATCCATCCATTCAGTTTGTTGTTGTTAATCCTCACCTGAGGACATTTTTCCTTTGATTTTTAGGGAGTGTGGAAGAGAGGGAAAGACAGAGAGAAACATCAATTGGTTGCATCCTGCACGTACCCCAACCAGGGAGGAACCTGCAACCAAGGTACGTGCCCTTGACCGGAAACAAACCTGGGACCTTTTGGTCCACAGGCCGATGCTCTATCCACTGAGCCAAACTGTCTAGGGCCATCCACTCAATTTTAAACATTATTGAGGGCTAATGATATGTCAGGCACTGCAGGGTGGATCATGTTTATCTTTCTTTTCAGGTGAAAGACTCGGAGAGGCTGAGTGATTTGTTAAGGTCATAAAGCTTATAGTGATGGAGAATGTTGGTTCAAGATAATCCTTGCTCTTCACGATAGGCCTGGGTGCCTGCCTTCCTTCCTTCCTTCCTTCCTTCCTTCCTTCCTTCCTCCCTCCCTCCCTCCCTCCCTCCCTCCTTCCTTCCTTCCTTCCTTCCTTCCTTCCTTCCTTCCTTCCTTCCTTCCTTCCTTTTCTTCCTTCTCTCTCTCTTCTTTCTTTCCCTCCTTCCTTCCTTCCTTCCTTCCTTCCTTCCTTCCTTCCTTCCTTCCTCTTCCTCCCTCCCTCCCCCCTCCCTCCCTCCCTCCCTCCCTCCCCCCCTTCCTTCCTTCCTTCCTTCCTTCCTTCCTTCCTTCCTTCCTTCCTTCCTTCCTTCCTGTACCTGTCTTTTCATACCCCCTAACTTCCTTGAGGTCAAGGCTATCTTATACATCTGGAATCCCCCTTGCATACACAACCATTTGCTGTAACCCTGGCCGGTTGAGTGTCATCCCATGCACTAAAAGGTTTCAGGTTCAATCCCGGTCGGGGTGCCTAGGAGAGGCAACTGATTGATGTTTCTTTCTCACATCGATGTTTCTGTCTCTCTCTAAAAAATAATTAAAAATCAATAAACGTATCCTTTGGTGAGGATTAAAACAAAACAAAACAAAAAACTATCTGCTGTAGTAGTTACATCGCTCATCTCAGCAAATCCTCGCTGCCCATCCCTCAAAGATGCTTCACTTCTTTCCAACCCCGGGAAAAATCCCCAAACAGAGACCATATGACTTCATCTAGAGAAGGAGGAGAATTTATTTTAGTTCGACCCTGGCTCACAATTTTGTCTTCTTTTTTTGTGTTGGAGTCATGAGAAGCCCTTTAATCCCACCACAAATCAGGGCAACTCAGAGATCGCTTTCTTGGCTGGAGGACACGTTGGCTTCTCCTGCTCCCTTGCTTTCTCTTCGTACATCAGGATCCTGGTTGAGATGGGAAGAGACACAGGGGTCAGGGGACAATCCTCTCGGGAGAATAAATCCGAGGCGGCTATGAAAGTCCAGAAGAAGATGAGGGTTTCGAGGTGGGAGGAGGAAGGAGGACGGGGGTGGGAGTGCTGGGGGCTGTGGGACCAGAACCATGGATGGGGATAAGGCCTTGGAAGGGTTCCTCAAAGGACAGAAGGAGTGGGTGCTGAGTGTGTGTAAGGGGAGCCTAGGGACTGGAGCAGGGTGGGGAGGAAACCTGTCAGGACAGGGCGGCTGGAACTGGACCGAGGGCCACCCTGGCTCTGCCCCCCCCCCCCCCAGTCCCTCACATTTTGAGGATGGCAGATCTCTTGCCCAACATCATCCTGAGGAAGTCGGAGTAGTCGAAAGTCTCCCCAGAGCCCTGGGAAACCTCCTTGATTAATTTCTTTAGCTCCAGGTGAGTCTTGGGTACCCCAAGTTTCTCCAACATTCGCTTCAGGGACATGATATCTGGAGATAAAGGATGGGGGTGAGAAGAGGGGATTTCTTCTCTCTCTCCTGTGCCGCCACATTCCCAGTCCCTTCGTCTAATCCTGGTAGCTGGACTCTTTCCCAAACCATCTTATCCCCATCCAGTGGAGCACAGTAGGAGAGACCTCTCCCTGGGTCTGCACACCCCCAATCCCCCTTTTCTCACCGATATCTCCGTTTCCATTCAGGTCAAACTCCATGTATTTCTCTGGGTGAGGGGAGAAAGCAGACGTAAGCTCTGGCTGGAAGGGCAGGGGCAGGGCAGAGCACTGAGAAGGGGGTTGCTACCAGTGCTAGGTAGGGGAGGCGTGGGAGAAGGGGGGCAGGCAGAGGAAGCAGGGTTTGGGTTGAAGTGCCCTGTTAAGGCATCCTGAACTGAGAGGGGCTGCTGCGAGGGGCTGACCAGGGAAGGGATGCGACCAGGGAAGGGGCAATGGAGGCAGTCTTCCTTCTTCCAACCACACAGTACTGCGTCTGCTCTCCCCGCTCTGTTTCTGGGGAACTCCTACCCCCTCGCCTCCCACCCACCCCTACAGTTTCCCCCTCACTCTTGAAAGCTTCCAATTTGGAGAGAAGATCCTCATCACTGTTGTATTTGGGGTCATCCAGGAATTGCTGTGGGAAAAGCCAGAGCCAGGGTAGGCCCTCTGCCGGGCCCCTTCCCCCAGCCCCAGCCCCAGCCCTTCCCCCTTAGTTCCCCCTTTTACCTTATTGATTTCATCCAGTCTCTCTTCCTGCTGGGCCTTCAGCAGCCCAAAGGCCTTTCCTCCTGAGGGGGCACAAAAGTTAATGTACCCCCGCCACGGCCCACCAGCCCCAGGCATCGCAGTCGTGCCATCTTAGGCCAGTAACTGCCCTGCTGGCCCCTTGGCCCACGTCTGTCACTCTTGCTCACGTTAAAAAAATATTTTTAAAAAAATTGATTTCAGAGGGGAAAGGAGAGGGAGAGATAGAAACATCAATGATGAGAGAGAATCATTGATTGGCTGCCTCCTTCCCCCTCCCCCTTCCCTCCTTCCCTTTCCCGTTCCCCTCCTCAATGAGGATCAAGCCCCCAACCCAGGCATGTGCCCTGACTGGAATCGAACCATGACCTCCTGGTTCATAGTCGACGCTCAGCCACTGAGCCACGCCAGCAGGGCGCTCCTGCTCACTTTTGAGGCTTCTGCCTATCCCAGCTGCCTACCCTGTAAATCCTGGGCTTGGTTCATGGCTCAGTAGATGCTGGTGGAGACAGACAAGCTGGCTGTGTCTCTGATGGCTCTCCTCTCCCACAGCCTCCTGGGAGGCTGCCCCCCCAAACTTCCCCTTTCTCTCATTTCCTCCTCCTCTAGTTCCAGGCCTCACTTCCTCATCAGCTTGTGCTGACACTAGTGAAACATGGGGTTCGGGGTATAGATTGCTTTTCATGGGTTCCTGTCTGATGAAGATGAAGAATAAATTCGTGGCCTAACAGATTTCTTCAATAAAAATGTAGAAGCTTGAGAAAACCAAGATGGTGGCATAGGTAAACACCGGAGATTGCTGCCTCGCACAACCACTTCAAGAATAAAACTAAAAGATGGAACGGACATCATCCAGAACCACAGGAAGACTGGCTGAGTGGAAATTCTACAACTAGAAGGAAAGAGAAAAGCACACTGAGACTCAGAGGAGGTGCTGTACGGAAGTAAATACAAAAGTGCGGAGGTGCGCGCGGAGCGGGCTGGCGGCTGAGGGCGCGGTTGTCGTTTTCTATCGGGAGGGAGTCTCAGGCTCTGAGCTCCAGTTCCAGGTGAGTCTCTGGGGACCCAGACTCATATGGGAGAAACGGGACTGTCTGGCATCGGTCGGAACTCGAGGGCAGCTTTCTCTTGGAGACACTCTCGGTGATTGCCAGGACCTCTGAAGGCAGGACTGAGAGCAGCCATACTGCTCGATCCGCCCGCCCTGTTGATCCCCTGGGACCCCGCCCCGCCCAAGCCATGCACTGAGGCTTTTGCATATGAAAGGCCCGGCCCTTTGTAATCTGAAAATAACTTAACAAACTGCAGCTGCCTCAAGGCCCCAGGGCAACTTGCATTGCTTTACAGCTGGCTTCTGCTGGGTAGCCTCAGGAAAAGGCTAGATTAGCACCTCCTTAGTTCCAAGAGCCAGTATACCCAGTGGTTAGAGTGGGACCATCCAGATTACAACTCCTCAGATCTACAAGGGACACACTCAGGGGGCAGACTCAGTGGGCACCAAAGCCCCATTGAAGCAAGTCTTGCCCCAGAAGGGTGTCTCCAGCGCAGAAGTTCTCCCACAGTAGACACAGCTGATTCTCACAGCCAATTGGCCTGGAGGTCAAATCCTCCCAGTGTTACCTACAACAATCAAGGCTTAACTACAACAAGACTGTGCACAAAGCCCACAAAGGGGTGCACTAAGAGTGTCTACCTCAGGTAATTGGGACACTTAGCACAGAAAGCCCCTCTATCAACACAGCGAAGCATAAAAAATGCCGAGACAAAGAAACAGGACACAAATGACAGAAATGGAGGAAAGCAAACTACTGGATATAGAGTTCAAAACCACACTTTTTAGGTTTTTCAAGAATTTTCTAGAAACTGCCGATAAATGTAGTGAGATCCTCAAGAAATCTAGTGAGATCCTGGACGTTGTGATAAAGGACCAACTAGAAATTAAGCATACACTGACTGAAATAAAGAATATTATACAGACTCCCAACAGCAGACCAGAGGATCACAAGGATCAAGTCAAAGATTTGAAATACGAAGAAGCAAAAAACACCCAACCAGAAAAGCAAAATGAAAAAAGAATCCAAAAATACGAAGATAGTGTAAGGAGCCTCTGGGAAAGCTTCAAGCATACCAACATCCGAATTATGGGGGTGCCAGAAGAAGAGAGAGAGTAAGATATTGAAAACCTATTTGAAGAAATAATGACTGAAAACTTCCCCTACCTGGTGAAAGAAATAGACTTACAAGTCCAGGAAGCGCAGAAAACCCCAAACAAAAGGAATCCAAAGAGGACCACACCAAGACACATCATAATTAAAATGCCAAGAGCAGAAGACAAAGAGAGAATCTTAAAAGCAGCAAGAGAAAGAAAGCCAGTTACCTACAAGGGAATACCCATACGAATGTCAGCTGATTTCTCAACAGAAACTTTGCAGGCCAGAAGGGAGTGGCAAGAAATATTCAAAGTGATGAATACCAAGAACCTACAACCAAGATTACTTTATCCAGCAAAGCTATCATTCAGAATTGAATGTCAGATAAAGAGCTTCACAGATAAGGAAAAGCTAAAGGAGTTCATCACCACCAAACCAGTATTATATGAAATGCTGAAAGGTATCCTTTAAGAAGAGGAAGAAAAAGAAGAAGGTAAAGATACAAATTATGAACAACAAATACACGTCTATCAACAAGTGAATCTAAAAATCAAGTGAATAAATAATCTGATGAACAGAATGAACTGGTGATTATAATAGAATCAGGGACATAGAAAGGGAATGGACTGACTATTCTTGGGGGGCGGGAATAGGGGTGTGGGGGATGCGGGAAGAGATTGGACAATAATCGTGCACCTATGGATGAGGACAGTGGGTGGGGAGTGAAGGCGGGGAGGGTGGGGTGGGAACTGAGTGGAGGGGAGTTATGGTGGGAAAAAAGAGGAACAACTGTAATAATCTGAACAATAAAGATTTAATTAAAAAAATTATAAAAAAATGGCAAAAATAATGTAGAAGCTTATTGGAAGCATATATAACAGCAGTTCTCAACCTGTGGGTCGCCAACCTGTGGGTCATGACCCCTTTGGGGGTCAAATGACCCTTTCACAGGGGTCGCCTAAGACCATCGGAATACACATATATAATAACATATTGTTTTTGTGATTAATCACTATGATTTAATTATGTTCAATTTGTAACAATGAAAATACATCCTGCCGAAACCGGTTTGGCTCAGTGGATAGAGCGTCGGCCTGCGGACTGAGAGGTCCCAGGTTCGATTCCAGTCAAGGGCATGTACCTGGGTTGCGGGCACATCCCCAGTAGGAGATGTGCAGGAGGCAGCTGATTGATGTTTCTCTCTCATCGATGTTTCTGACTTTGTCTCTCTCCCTTCCTCTCTGTAGAAAATCAATAAAATATATTAAAAAAAGAAAAAAAAAAAAAAAAAAAGAAAATACATCCTGCATATCAGATATTTACATTGATTCATAACAGTAGCAAAATTACAGTTATGAAGTAGCAACGAAAATAATTTTATGGTTGTGGGTCACCATAACATGAGGAACTGTATTAAAGGGTCGCGGCATTAGGAAGGTTGAGAACCACTAATATATAAACTCCATCTGAGCAGAGGTGTCCCCAAAGGAGACCCCCTGAGGAGGGGCCCCCAAATGGGAAAAGCCTGCTCTCTGTCTAATGGGAAAAATAAAAAAAATCTCGCCTCCTGCCCCTTTACCTCCGGTTTATGCATGGTGCAGTTCTTCATTTGAACCTGACCCCTTCTAATTGGACCGTTCATTAATTTAGGACTCCCATGCTTTCCTCTTGGTTTTTTTGTTGCATAGTATCAGTTTCAAAGACCAAAGCCCAGTGGTGACCCTTCTTTCTCTCCCCTTATCTTGCAACGTTCATCTATTCTCTGTGAAAATGTTTCCTTCTTTCCATTATCCTGTGACTTTTCTTTATCCTCTGTGAAAGTATGTCTTCCTCCTCCGCTTATCCTGTGGCCTTTTTCTGTCCTTTATAAGATAAACATTTTGGCATCTCCAAGCTGTTCAGGCCAGAGTTACCTCATCCTTCACATACGCATTCCTCCCCCATGGACCCTCTTTATTCCCTAAACCTGCCTATTTTGTCCTTAGAGTTCCTCCCACTGGCTCTCCAGGAGGAAGGGGAGCGGAGTGTAGATTGGAAATGAGAAAACGACATTCTTTCAGATTCCTCAGAAGGAGAGCCCTGCGTGTGTGTGAGAGGAGTATCTTGAAAGCCCGCGGGGTGTGGGGAAGCAGGAAGACCCCTGGGACATCTCTTGTCAGGGACAGGTGGTCTTTAAACCCGGTCGGAGGCTCAGGTGACTGAGGCCGGCATCTGGTGGGTTTCAGGGTCTCACACAGGGAGCCACGGGGAGAGGGGGTGCCGGCTGGATCTGTCTGTGCTGTGGGAGGGCCGGGAGGGTGGCCACATGGGTGCAGGGTCTGGAAAGGCAGCAAAACTTCATTCCCAGCTCAGCAGCTTGAGAGGCACTTGGAAATACAGAAATGTCTAACAAAGGCATTTTAACGTGTTTGCTTTAGAATGTACAATGTAACCTCATCTTATCCCCTTTGCATGTTTTAGTAAAATCTACAGAACTCAGGAATTTGAGTAGATTCTTTGGAGGAACTGAAAGTGGTGTTGAGAGAGACAGCATTTATGGACATGAGCCAGGGTGAGAGGCAGACATTAGGTGTGTGTGTGTGTGTGTGTGTGTGTGTGTATGTGTGTGTGCTGGTCGCTGCTGTGGGTTCAACAGAGGATGAGTAGCCCTGATAAATGCCCTCCCTCAGCAAACCCTTCATCTCCCTTGCTGCCCTGTTTGGCTGGTCACTGCTAGGGGATGGGGGAGGGGGGGACAGTGTGTCCCCCTCGCTGAGACCCTTTTGTCCTGACTCCCTACCTAGACTCCATGTCCCGGCCCCAGCACTGAAGACACCTTTCCCCCTCCTCCCCTCCCCTGTCCCTGTCTGCTGCTGGGAGTTCTCGCTTCTCATCCGCTCCTGACCCTGCAGGCGGGACTCTGACTTCTTGACTTCCCTTCATTGCAGCTGCCTCTCTCCTTGGAAGAAAGCTGCAACCCTGCACTTCCAATGGTCTCATTGCCTGGGGGGGGGGGGGAGTTCATTTCTTCATTCATACATTCATTCACAATATTTATTGAATACTTACTGTATGCCAGGCATGTTTCTTAGCCCACTGAACCAAACAAATGTAAAGTCTTCAGGGACAGTCTAATTGAGTAAGAGAGACAATAAAAATAAACAAATAGCCCTGGCCTGTTTGGCTCAGTGGATGGAGCGTTGGCCTGTGGACTGAGGAGTCCTGGGTTCGATTCCGGTCAAGGGCATGTACGTTGGTTGTGGGCACAGCCCCGGTGGGAGGTGTGCAGGAGGCAGCTGATCAATGTTTCTCTCTCATCGATGTTTCTAATTCTCTATCCCTCTCTCTTCTTCTCTGTAAAAAATCAATAAAATATATTTTTAAAAAATAAACAAATATATTGAAGGCAGTAGGTGCCCATGGAGAAAAAGTGAAGGAGGGAGACAGGAAGTG